GGAAGTTATCCTATTCAAAACTGAATTGTAGCAAACATTCCTCGAATTTAATTTGCCCATAGAAGCAAACCTTTGCTGTAGAACTGAATTGAGATGCCAAAAGAAGTCATCTCCTTTGTAGCCACGTTCATAATGCGAATAGTTACTGAATCATATTTTGGACGTTAAGTGCCGGCTGTACATCTAGATTCGATTCCAGACAGAGATGGACATTATTTCTGCTCCCGCACGTCGAGCTGACTCTGTCTGCCATTCGATGGCTGTTGTGGGTGGAGGTTTTCCTGGGGGATGAAGCTGCCAGGGCGTGAAACTGACCGCATGCTTCCATCTAATGCAGAGATGCGTAGTGTGTGTGGAACTTCACCTCCATGCCTGACGGCGTGATGCATAAGCACAGAAGAAAATTTATTTTTACCTTTGACCCAAATGTATTCCATTCCCGCCTCGCATTTCCATGCCTTAAAAGAGAACCAAACGTCTTCATTTCATCCCACATTTCTTATTGCTAAGCAGCTGCTCTTATTTTTTTACTTAGTTACCTTTATCTAGCTTTAAATAACAGGTTACCGATCTATTTATAGATCTCTCAGCGAATATATCGGCTGTGATTGTTCATGTATCATAAGCTTCCTTAAGTGATTTATTGAGGCACGCTGTAGGATAGTGGGTTGAGGCACTATGTACGAGCCGGAAGGTTGCGGGTTCGATTCCAGATGTCATTGGGGTTTTCAATTTACCTAATACTTCCAGCCGCTCTATGGCCCTGGGGTCGACTCGGCCTCTAACAGAAATGAGTACCAGGAATCTTCCTGGAGGTAAAAGGCGGCCGTTGCGTGATGCTAACCTCACCGCCATTTATGAGCCGATTGTCTAACAGTGAACCAGTGCAGGGCCGTTGTGAACAAGTAATGAACTTGGGGGTATTGAGAAATTCTTGAGTAGCAGAGCGACTGGCGACTTCCCGAGAAGGACACAACTCCGTTGGGTTAGTTCATGTTTATTTTCAGATAAACACCAGGATGCTATTGCGGGACAAAAGCTAGGCTATAGGACCACAAAATAGGAAATGTTTAAATAAATATTTTCTATACAATTGTTTTTCTTTCAGTTTCATTGTGCTATGTTATCGCGTGTTCTAGGGAACAAGTAAAGTTCCCGACAAAGGCAGGGTTCCGTATTACATGCCTACCATGTCTATAACACTTTTCTTTCGTAGGCTCCTTGAAAACAAACTAATAATTTCATGTTATGTAACATTAATTCACGTTCAAAAATCCACGCTATCAGAACTCGTTACTTATTTTGTATTTAGGTCTACTTAATATAATATCATTAAATACTTCATTTGGTCAGTTTTCCAACATTATTTTGCTTTCGTAACATGAGGTGTCGGGCCTATAAAATGAAGGCAAAAAGGTGTATCCTTGGGCGTGTTTTTTTCCGAAGTACTGAATAATTTTTTATTATATCCGGTATTGGTGGTCTACATTAAACATCGGGCGAATTTAGTTTCTGTTCATATCGGTTCAATAAAACCTTTACATTGCGTATAAATCAGGTCGAGTTTTATTATTTTTCTCCAAACCTGCTGGTAATTAAAAAAATGAAATATAATTCTAAAATGTATACATTAAACCTTATTAATATCTACTGCATTTATTGGAGACTCCTTTTCGTAATGAATTTATCGAGATATAAGGAAGAACAATTTCCTTTTTGACTCTGTGCAGTGTGCAGCAGTGTGTTTGTTATACGAATGGGCCCCTGTTGGACACGAAATGTTGTGTATATCTGATTTACCTCAGACAGTGGACAGGGTCCAAATTAAAATTTATGTGGATAATTAATCGATGTGCTAAATCTTTAGAGATTCAATGTTTGTAGGCCCGTATGCAACAGATGCCAGTGAAAATACAGTATCGTGAAGAAACCATTTGGAACGTATTTGCACACCATTGGGAGTTCTCTTTTCCACGTCTATTTTGTCAGATGAGAATATCTATAGCGCTTGAAACCCTCAGTTACATGATATTTTGTTCCTACATCGGTAACAAAGATTTGGAGCAGGCGCTATGTGTAGAGATGACGTAGTGTTCTTGACCAGAGAATTTAACGCAGTTATGAACTGAAGTGGACACGAAATCTTCAGCCTATGCCGTTAATTCACAGGGTGTACTGTATATATATATATATAAAATAAAGAAGCGAATCCAATACCAGGTCTCATCCAGCAAGAGAACAGTTTATTTTGTATCAAAGTATCTTCATTGAACATGAGTGAAAGAAGAGGCTTATGAATCACAATGCAAACCTCCCCTTCAAACCCTTTCCTTCCCGCATCTTTTCACCGTCCCACCCAATCTCTTTTCCCTTTTTTATAATAGGAAAACCAAAAAATCACCGCAAACTCTCCCATACCCACTACCATACACCACCGCTCCTACCACCAACAGCTCAAAAAATAATAAAAAACACACCATTATACGTGGCTTAATCCTCTCTTTCCCCGGAAAAAAAAAAATCCCTTGCGCTATAAAATTGAAATGCCCCCTCACCGCCGTCAACCCATTTCTCCCCCCAGCACCCCATCCTGGTGCTGGACACGCGGTAACCACAGGATTGTACGTGTGGGGTGGCTTTAGCTGCTCATGTCTACGCGTGGCCTCTAGTGCAATGAAATATGTCTTTGACATTGTGGAACTGAGGTGGCCTGCCTCCGATCCCAGTGCATGTGCTGTCCAGTTGTTATCCTGGTGAACTGCATGTAAGCTTAAACTGGCATCTCCTCTTTGAAATTCCATCAGAACCGTCTTCACGAAATTATAATTTTCAAATACGCAGAATAAGTATACCTGAAGTATCAGTTGTGCTATAGAGTTATTCTGTTAGTTCACTTCGAATTCAGTGTCCACGCGAATTTTCTGACCTACATTTGCGACGGAAGTGATGTCCTGCTTTGACACACATTCTCCTTCATAATAGTGGTTCTGGTCTTTTTCTGTTTCACGGACCGGTAAGCAGCGGCGAGTTGATGTCTTCTTGAAACAGCCCCGTATCCGTCTCTCACTGCAAAAGTACAGTTGAATTGTAATTGTTACTAGCACGTGGAGGGCTCTTGTGAACACTGTAATGAACCTACAGGTTTCATAAAATGGTGGGGGAATTCTTGAGCACCTGCACAACTGGCGGCTTCACAAGACGGGTTCAACTCCGTGAAGTTAGTTATTAGTAGCACATTTAAACGTGTTTCGTTTTGTAAGATTTGAGGTTTTCACGGCGGTGACTATGAAGAAAGCACTCTTCTGGGATGTGGCGCTGTATAAATATTGTATTAATAGACATTTCGGAGGAACGTCGGTTAAAACAATATCTACACGGGTTAGGGTTCTAGTGGAAGTATATGTAGCAACAAGGAACATCCTAGACAGCATTTAATGTAGACCTGACACCAAATTTAATCCATATCCTTGAAGTGCTCACGCTGGTTCCTAGCTCGCGGATTTTCTTTTTTTCTTCTACCCTGAATATGGAGGTGATACGTTCCTCCGAAACGTCGGTTAGCACAATATGTACACGGCACCACATCCCAGAAGACGGATTTCTTCTTGTTTCATTTTATTCTTGAACTTTAACGGATTGGGTCCTCCAGCCTCTTCCAGTTCAGAATTAATTCTGAAATTATGAATTCTTAGACATTTGATAGGATCTTTGAAATAGGATTGGCGCACACAAGATAACAGAACGCAGAAATACAGGACATACATTCATGCCTCTAACCCATGGTTCCAATGTTGGAGTGGTCAAAGTTCGTGGCACTTTGTACCGCGCCGCGACTATGGTCGCATTGCAAACTTACGAATAGTTACGTATTGAGAATCAACCCTTGTATGTGAAATTGAAATCACACATGGGTTGAGAAATCGGGAGTATTGTTAACGCTGAAGAATTCTTAGTACCATTCGCTGTGTATATACCTCACAAGGCAACTTTCCATGAGGTAAGTGAAAGAGGGACATCAATGAGAATCGAGAGAAATCTACTTGAACCTCCAGAGTGATATTTCTTGTCGGAAAAATGTTAAGTTTATTTCCATCTTGCATTTCGCGGTATGTATTCTATCTTAGAATTCTGTTCTTTAATTTCTTTTTACTCGTTTAATTTAAAAAGTCGTAAAACGGACTAAGCTACAAGGACCTAATCTACTAACTACCAGAAAATATGTACGTATATATTAGGCAATTTACAACTAACGACTTTTAGAACACTTATATACACGAATAATAGGTCTAAAGCAAAACACAGAGGCTACCGACATAATCGCTTCTCTCTTTACGTGAGAGTGCCTGAGGATGATAATATAAGCTGAAATGCGTTGCGAGTTAATTGTACATAAATTTAATTAATGTTATGTATAAGACTATTGTGTGTATAAAATTTAGTATGAAATTGGAGAGCCACGTTACACAAATAACAAAAAATGATAAGATGAGAAGACAAAGGTGTTGCATATGGATTACATGTGCAGACACAAGAAATCGAATTCCAAGGCATATGACGTACATTGTTTGTAGGCCTGCCTATTTGTGTGGTGAAGTGCAGTGTCCGGGTTCGTTGTACAGGATAACTTTAGCAGCCGAATCATGAGCAAGGGTTGCACTGAAAACTGCTTCTGGATGTGACACACTGGAATGGGGTAGGAACACAGCAAGCGGCTAATAAAAATTGAAGGTGTAGAAGATAGGTTTAAAGAAATGGGGTGCTTTTCTTCAGAGTTTTCTGCACAATGTACGTATTTTTTCATCGTTTATATGCTCCCCTGTGTCATAATCACCAGTATTATGGCATATTTGCTCTCTTGCAGGTACTAACAGAACAGAAACTTTTCAATCCCCCCCAGTCTTAGTAGGGCTTAGTTGTGACATGAACAGCTTTGGATATTGGGTTCTGTCAGCTTTTCTCTGTGCTTCCTGCTCAAGGCGTAACTTTTCGGATTGTTGCAGGTGTCGTGTGCTGGACGGAAGGTTCTTCCTGTGCGGCCCTCACATAGAAGTGAGACAGGTCCGCTGGCACCCTGGCTCGCGCACCGATTCCCTTCTCTTGGTGCTCACCTCAGAGAACTTCTTGCGGTAAGTTCTTACCTGTCTCGAGAGTTAACATAGTCCTAATGAGGAGATTCATGACTTGTGGGCATTGCTGTTCGCCCGGTAATGTTAGAGAAATGAAAACAAGCAAGGGGAGATAGATATGTAGATGAGACGTGTAGGACGCACGAGATATCAACTGTAACCGGAATATCGAAGTGGAAGAGATCACATGAGAAACTTAGGCACGGATGCAAGGATACGACATAATGTTAAAATGGGCCTAAGCAAAATAGGATACGAGAGGATGGAATACATACAAATGCCCTTGTAGAATGTCTTTGTGACGAAGATAAAGAACTTTCTGGTTCCATAAAAGCATCGGATTTTCCTAATCGGCTGAATAATTTATAACTTTTTAAGAAGTACCCTGTGCCCAACTTAGAGTGTATTGGTTGGGTAATTAGTTCGTTTGTTCGCTTATTAGGCGTAGTTAGAAGGACACCTGTAACGTGGTCTTATTTTGACATTCTCCTGAACTGTATGAAAAACGCCACAAAGCAATTTTCCGGCCAACATCTGAACCAAGTACCTCCAAAGTCAGAATCCTTGTCTTGATGGCAGTTTCACAGTAAACGTGTACTTACGTACAGACATGAAAACAGAGTACCAAGTGGAGGCAGACCAAAGATGTACAGTTATTTTTAGACGGGGTTTGGACTTGGGAGGCACTCTGCTACAAGCCGGAAGGTCGCGGGTTCCATTCCTGACATGTTTATTGTTTTTTTTTTCAATTTACCTAATCCTTCCACTCGCACCATGGCTCTGTAGTCGACTCAGCCTCAGACAGAAATGAGTTCCAGGAATCTTCCTTGGAGGGGGAGGGGGGTTAAAGGGCGGCCGGCACGTAAGGCTGACAACCTTACCGCCATCTGTGAGTCGATTGTCTAGAGAAAATGTGGCAGCCTCGACGTCTTACAATCTTATGGGCCTTCACGGCCTGTTACAGGGATAGCTTTACCTTTTACGGGGTTTGGACGTGACTGTCGGAAGTTGCCGCGCGACAGAACCTGTAGTTCACAGGTTCCTAAATATCTAGGGTCTGACTGAGCGCCTTGTATTGCAGGTATATCAGAACACGTAAACTTCATCCATTCACTCCATGAAACAGAATGGCCTTCATTTTTCCTACCTGTAGTTATTTAAGAACGATTTTTCGGTATTGTGGCTATACTCGTATAACGTGAGATTGTATGATGACAGATGAATGGTGAGTTGGAAAGGATTCGGTAGGAAGTAGTAATGATTTGATCGAGGCACGGTCCCAGCATTTTCCGTGAGGAACTGAGGAAAGCCACGAAAGACAGTCAAGATGGCTGGTGTCTTCGCCGAGATTTGAGCCGAGAGCCTTCCGAATACAAGTGTAGAGCGTTACATATAGACCAGCCTTTTCTGTGAGTCCTTGCAATGCTGATAGTCGTTCAGATAGTCAAAATATCACCAATCCTTTTGGAACCTGTACGTGTTTTACTGCCACTGAAATCCATTCCACACCCTCACACCCTGTTTAAGCTAAGGCGTGACGACCGGGACTAATGCTGCTGCTTCATCATATCCCCATGCGGTAAAGCGGACGGAGCGTGAAACTCACTACTGTCTATCCATTGTCTAGATCCATAATACTTAATCTGTTTATATGCGGTGGTTAGGCAGTATATCTTAAGGCTCCGATCGCAGCTGAAAGTCGCACGCGCCTTCATCACCGCTAAGCATCCTCCGTGTCGCAGTAATTGAAACTTACGGTGGCCACGTATGATTCCGCTCAACTGCGGCCAACTTGAGTAGCTGGGCAACTTACAGAAAATAATATTGTAGTTTTCTGTGTTTGCATTTATAGTGATTGTATATTTAGATACTGGCGCTTCACAAGTTTCATTTCCGTAAGCATCTTTTGGTTTATGAAAGATTGAGTTTTTCCGGCGGTGACTATGAAGAAAGCAGTCTTCTGGGGTGTGGCGCCGTGGAGATATTGTGTTAACCGACGTTTCGGAGGAACGTATTGCCTCCATCTAAACGGTGCCACATCCCAGAAGACTGCAGTCTTCATTTTCTGATTTAATTCACTGCTGTATTATACTGTATATGAGAATGCGGAACTTGATGTTGTACCCACAGACTCTACGAGACTGGCAGCAATGAACCGCAGCTTCAACAGGTGTGGCCGCTGGGTCGCCAGCCCACCGCAGCTCTCAGCAGTGGACCCCGCCTCCCATTCCTTGTGGGGCTCGGGGACACGGCAGTTGATTTTGATTTTGCTCCACCTGTGCCTTCAGAAAACGTGAGTTACACTGCTTATATTAATCTGGTCCCACAAGTGCAAAGTGGCTTTTTGAAAGGGACGAAGATAGCGCTGGCAGATTTAGTGGTGGCTGAGGTATGTTCGAGTATATTTGGTATCTTTCTGAGAAAAGTTATTAAACAACATATTATTATTATTATTATTATTATAACAGGGATAGCGTAGTCGGTATAGCGACTGGTTACAGGCTGGACGACGGAAGTTTCGGAGTTCGAGTCCCGGTAAGGTCAAGAATTTTCTCTTCTCCACATCGTCCAGCCGGCTCTGGGGCCCCCCCCGCCCTCCTCTCCAATGGGTACTGGGTGCTCTTTCCCCGAAGGTAAAGCGGCCGTGGCATGAAGCTGACCACTCATCTCCAACTAGTGCTGAGGTCAAGAAAATGTGGATCTGTACCTCCATTCCCCCCACACGCCTTCATGTCGTACTGCTTAATTAGTTGAGCACAGGGACAAGTTTACCTTTATTATTTTCTGTGTTATTGTTGGATTGTAAGATTTTGGGCTTTCACGGCAGTGACTATGAAGAGAGCCGGTTCTCACGGTCTCTTCGCTTGCGGATTTCTTATATTTTTCCTTCTACCCTGAAGATGGAGGCGATACGTTCCTCCGAAACGTCGGTTAACACCACATATACACGGTGCCAAATCCCAGAAGACTGCTTTCTTATTGTTGGATTCTTTTCAGCGCGGTAGTAGGCACGTAGCTGCTGCTGTTATGTTGTTATTACTAGCATTAATCGCAAAACTGAAAGCACTGCATGGGAGGCCTACACGTAGACAGAAAAATAATATTAGAATTGACATTAAACACGCAGAATGCGGGCTGAATTCATTTGCATCTTGATAAGAACCAATACCGACGCCGCAGGAGCAACACGACAAGTAATGCGCTCAAACAAATATCTCTTATAAATGAATGACGATTTATGGAACGACACAAACATATTTTAATTTGAAACTAATTCATTTTAAATACATTGTAAGGGTTTTGGCGAGACAAACAGTTGCCTGATGATGGCCGCTTACGGCCGAAACATGTAGCAAAGAGGAGGAGTAAATGAAAAATAAAGTTACATCTGAGACGTAAGTATGTGTGTGTACACTTTTGATAAAGTTTTTTTCAACAAGATTGCCGCCATTTTTAATAGGAAGAAATCTTTAACGTATATTTTGTGGAATAGGAGTATACTTTGACGAGCCGCATTCGGCCCGTGGATCGCTAGTTGGATAACCCAGGTTCATACAGGACCTTCAATTTATGATGCACCGAGTGTCACAGTTTCTTGGCCGCTGAACTGGGTGTATCGGAGACAAGACCAGCTTGCGGCGGCACCGCAGCGTCACATAATGGAAACTCAGTACTGCTACGTAGGCCTGCGTTCTTTTCCTAGGAGCAGGCCGCGCCATAGCTCAAGCGGTTAGTCGCTGGCTTCCCACCGCGGCGGCCTGGGTTCGATCCCGGATCTGGTCAAATGGGATTTGTGGTGGAGAAAGTGGCGCTGGGGCGGGTTTTCTCCGAGTACTTCGGTTTCCCCTGCCAATCTTCATTCCACCAAATTCTCCATCATAATCACACGGAGCAGGTGCAATAGGCCAATCAGTGGCCGCCGTGCCGATTGGACCCAGCTGAACTCCACCCCCCAGGAGTTGTTCCTAGGAGTTGTTTTAAACGATAAGATGATGTTCAGTTTTATGTATAGTAGTGTCACGTGTTGGGTGTATAACGCGACAAATAATTTCACGCCGTGCTGGATATAGCGAATTTTATTTCACACTCGCTCATAGCATCACACAATTTACAATCTCACAACTACTGCTACCTGCAGTATTACAATTACTTGGCCTGCGAAGGCTAGACTACAACTGAAAGGTTGGCTGCCTGGCTAACTCGTAACTATCTCGTAAACTAAAACTGTGAATAGTCTTCGCTGCTCCATATTTAGCCTCGTTCCGGACAACACAGAAAACAGCCACGTAATAGGCACCACTGTTGTCTGGCGCCGTGTCACGTCACCGCGGGGAGAGGGGCGGGGTGTTGACTTACCTATTACCATAGTAAAGACAGCGTTCCGATGCCGCCACGTACCGCTGGGGTGGGAGGGGGTGTCCTCCATTGCGCAACATGTCACAGTAGGGTTTATGTCAGAATTATCGAAATAAAATTCGCCCTACAGCTTCCAGCAAAAATCATGATCGCTTCGTTTAAATATTGCGTAAAAAGTGAACTTATAATGAAATAATTTCTACCTGTCTGCATTAAATGTAGTATGTAGACCTGCATGGTATGTCATATTGTCACCAGATGGCACTGAAGTTAACTTCACAGTCGCGTGTTTTCGTTTTAACTATGCTGAAGCCCAGAAACGAGACCACCTGTAAATTGGCTCTTGAAACACAAGGACAATCGTTTAAAAATTCAGAGTTTGATTCACACAAAAGACCAGAGCCGCTGTTCAGTGCAGTCACTTGGGCTTTTATATTGCCTGGTTAATCCACTCTTTTACTGAACACAAATGAATAAAAAGCGTACAACAGGAAGCTTAATGAATGCTAACGCCGATGGTAGTAATTGGAACATTTGAGTTCCAATAGAGTGGAGGTGCTGGCAAGTGAGCTGGACTTGAAGAGTAGCCCTTTTTTCATGTGTGTGTTGGCTCGTAGTATTTTATTTCATCTGCGGCGGCTCCCGTGTTGGTTACAGAGTAAACAGGGAGCATGTGTCGCCCACCCCCACCCCCACTAACCAGCGTACGATCAGGCCCAGCTGTTGCCCTTGGGGTATCTATCACCACACCACACCATTCACACCACTGTCACTTGTGTTATTGATGGGAAAACAGTTCGTTCCATGCTCGCAGATACGAGATAAAAAGGGAGAGTTGATCGCTTTTTTATTATTTAACCGAATTTAATGTTTGTGTTTCTGTGAACTGCCTAGGTCTATTTGATTGAATTTTTATGCACGAGTGATGCTAATTTTCGCTGTTATTTTTAAATACCTCCAAAGTAGCGTTTGAATTCGACCTGCCTAAATGTTTACGATTACTTTATAGGGATATTACTTGCCTTCCTTTCTCACTATTCCTAGTTTCCAAAATTTCCGGTTTAAAACTAAGTATAATTGTATAAATATATACCTGTATTTACGAAGCTTGTATAGATGACAGTCAAAACTGCAAAACTGGACGAAATGTGCTGTCTGCTGGGATGTGACACTTTGTATTCTGGCAGAAATTTACCGACGTTTCGGAGGAATATAACGCCTTCATTTCCCTTGTTGAAAATATGCTGAGAATGCAAGCCAGCACTGTGCTTGACTCTTGATTGCTTACTCGGCGCGACTCTGCAGATTAGTCCGTAAGCGAACTATATCGACCGAGCGACCGCCGCTTGTCGGCGAAGTTAGTGCCAACTTTTGCGGATAGAGTGTGTCCTGTGGTCAGCGCAACGAATCCACACGGCCGTTAATTTTGGATTTCTAGATCGGAGCCGCTATTTCCTTGAAACAGCTCCTCAGTTATCCTCACGAGACTGAGTGGACCCCGTTCCAGATCCACTACTTCTCAGAAAAATATCTGGTAGCGCCGGGAATCGAACCCGGACCTCTGGATCTGTAGCTAGGAACGCTGACCACTAGACCACAGAGTATGGTTTCTTTAAACCACTCAAGACGAAATCTGCTATCACTTGTGAAGAAAACTTTTGCGGCAACTATAAATCTCTGTGGATTTTTTCTATCTTACGCATATTTAATTTTTATTGATCGTTAAGTATTGCGGAATTAGCGTACAGGAATTGTTTCGTGCTTTTTTTTTTGTGTGCTTCATACTTAATCTGTTTAATTTTTGTCCAGAACTAGTCCATTTATTTCTCTTCTTATGCAGTTGAAAACTCTGCCCAGTCTCCATTCCATTTTCTTACCTCTGTTCGCCGCATTCGTAACTAACACTTCGGCTTTCGTATGTGTCGGGTATTCAGTTTCCTGCGCTCCTCAGATTCCCATTACATGTTGCTTTGCGCATGCGTGGTTGGTCTCAGTAAGATTTACATTTTCATGTTAATGACCTTCTACGCGAGCTTCGTGGAGGTTAGGTTTCCAGTGGAATTATATGTAGCAACAACTTCCTACACCGCATTTATTGTACACCCGATACCAACCGCACGTGGTGGCGTAGTTGGTTGAGGCACTATGCTACAATCCGGAAGGTCGCGGGTTCGAGTCCCGATGAGGTTATTGGATTTTTTCAATTGACCTAATCCTTCCAGCCACACTATGGCCCTGGGGTCGACTCATCCTCTAACAGAAATCAGTACCAGAAATTAATTAAATAATTTTCCTGTGGAGTAACGCGCGGTCGCCGCGTAAGGCTGACAACCTTACCGCCATCTTTGAGCCGATTGTCTAGCAAATGTGGGACCCTCAGCGCCTCACAACCCTATGGCCCTTCACGGCCTGTTACAGGGATTGCTTTACTTTTTACTTAATAACTGGCTTAATGCTGTAGTGATAAGATTTTGCTTCAGTAACGAACTGGCTTCTGATGTCGCAATGATAAGCTTAGCTTCGGAAATACAGTAGTTTAATGCTACAGTGATAAGCTTTTTCTTCTGTAATAAATGGCTTCGTTCTTCCGTGATAAGCGTTTCCTTCCGTAACAGATTGACTTAATTCTGCAGTGATAAGGTCCCGTCTCACTGGTAAAGTAAAAGTTGCAGTGCTGAACTTTATGTTGCTGTTTTCCCTCTGTACCGTCTATTCCTTCTTGTGAATGTCGAGTCTTGTATACATATGGCAGCGGTTTCTCTTTATCTGCGAGATATAGGAATTGGATCTCAGTTTCACCATAGCGCCATGGCGGCAAAGCGGCGCCAAGTGAACCATATTCATTTTCTCACTGATTAGCCATGCAACACACGAATTCCGAAATCGTTATTGGAAAATCTTTGTGTGCTTGTTCGCCGTAGAGACTCGGCGAGAAAAAGTCAATTCCCCGCAGTTTGCGCTCGTCCTCGCAGTCCAGACATTGCCGTCTGCGTCACTGCTTTCTTCATAACTCCATCGATATGCAGTAGAGGTTAGTAGATTTATTTATTTGTGCTCCTTTGCTCCCTTCGCATTACTAGGGTTTCGTGGACTGGAAACTTGGGCTTCTTCTGTTCTATCGCTTTCCATTAGCGCTGTGCTAATTTTAACAGATTCGCACATTTACATCTGTTTACGGTCAAGTCAAAACTAAAGATAAAAATTCTGTGGTTGAGTCATACCCTCTTCGCGTTGTATGTGTTATAGTAAGAGAAGCAATTGCTTCCTTTTTCTGTGTACCTTCTTCCAATAATGAATAAAATTACGGTCATGAGTAATTTAGATCTCCACTCTCCAAATATCTGAAGATGGAGGTGTACAAAATTGTAGATTTCACTGTTACTTTATATGGTTGTGAAACTTGGTATTTCTCCGTAAAGTAAGAGCCTTTGAATACAAGAAATAACAGAAACTATATTTATTTATTTATTTATTTATTCATTCATTCGTTAAACGAAGATGTCACTATCACAGATTATGTACAGCCAAATGGTAGGATGAACTCTCGTGGCCTTTAGTCCGCAAGCAAACTATACCGACCGAGCGACCGCCGCTTGTCGCGTCGTCAGCACAACGGATTCCCACGGCCGTTAATCTGGTTTTCTAGACCGGAGCCGCTACTTTTCCATTCAAGCAAGCCGGAAGGTCGCGTGGTTCGATTCCCGACGAGGTCATGTTTTCCAGTTAATCCGTCCAGCCGCACTACAGCATTGGGTTCGACTCAGCCTCTAACAGAAATGAGTACCAGGAATTTTCCTGGGGGTAGAGGGCGGCCGGCGCATAAGGATGACAACGTGACCGCCATCTGTGAGTCGATTGTCTAGAAAATGTGAGAGCCTCTACGTCACACCACCCTGTGGGCCTTCACGGTCTGTTACAGGGATAGCTTTACCTTTACCTCAGATCCCCTTGCCTTCAGATTTTCTGACAAGAATGTTGTATGCATTTCTGTTTTCTCTCATGAGTGGTAAATACCTCGCCTTCTCGTTCCACCTCATTTTATATTTTGCTCACACACTACCTTCTACTCCACTCGTCTGCACCGCCTGACAACTGACCCACTAGTGCTCATTTTATCTGAACGTAATTCGTAGCGAAAGGTTTCGATTCTTCAGAGGCGACCTTGACAGTCTTCGTGCGTCGGATTGGTTCCCGAACGTTCCAGAAGGAGGTTCTCGCCGGTTAGATTGAACTGGAGGCTCGTGCATTGCAGGCGCGATTCCCTCGCGCTCCGTTCCCTCAGTGGCAGTGTACAGCGCCTCCCTGTCACTTATACACGTATGTACAAGCTACAAGAAACACTGTGTATGTACGGTGTGACTGTGTTACAGATCAGCAGTTTTCGAATAGGACCTATAGCTCTCGCCGCAACTTACTGAATGAAATCTTCTTGGGCTATAAACCGTGTGAAGATGGCCATAATATCCTAAGTTTCGGAGACCGTCTGTCTTTCCATCGTCAGGGGCTTAATCCCCTATCGGCTTATTGCCCGATAAAACTTTACCAATTCACCTAGTTCAGCTTGTATACAGTGTCTCGTATGTTGATATATTCACACCTAGTTGTGTTTTTCATTTATGTAATTATTGTTTCATACGTTTCGAAAAAGTTTAGCATATTAAAATCATTTCACGCACAATAAATTGTAAGAATGGCGTACTGAATATTAAGATTAAAAATCACTATTCTAACAAGGCGCAGTATGTAACGAATACAGAACAGGTATTAAAAGTACCGAGGCTTGAACAGTTTCATTCACACAGACCGTCAAGGTGACAAATCAGGGCCGAACACTGCTATCGGCCGCGCCATAGCTCAAGAGGTTAGTCGCTAGCTTCCCACTGCGGCGGCCCGAGTTCGATCCCGTGTCTGGTCAAGTGGGATTTGTGGTGGACAGAGTGGCGCTGGGGAGGGTTTTCTCCAAGTACTTCGGTTTCCCCTGCCAATATTCATTCCACCAAATTCTCCATCATCATAATCACCTGGGGCAGGCCACAATAGGCCAGTCAGTGGCCGCCGTGCCGAGTGGACCCAGTTGGACTCCACCACCCACGAAGCGAATTTAAAAAAATTAACACTGCTATCACCACAGTTTGTTATTGGCTTTTTAAATGTGGTTAGGAACATTTTCAGCTTCAGGACGTCCCGACACAACGGCTGACGAACATTGACACAGCTCTGAAGAAGTACTGTTCGTTGTTCATTCATCAGGGCACAACGTGGTTAACTCCAGGGCGCTCCTTTTGATACTGGGCCTGAGTTCAACTGCCGTCACAGGACAGAACAGAGATTCGTCAGGCATCTGTGCTGTAATGTAGCTGCAGCACCGATCTCGGTTTTTCTGGCGTCTTAAGATCATATGCACCTTTAACTGCCAGTTGTTCTCATCGGTATTTCTTACTTACTTACTTATTTACTTACTTAATCCGTTCCTCTTGCACCTTTACGGTGTCGATGTTTTTTTTTTCTTCATTTTTGATCATTTTACAGACGATAGGACTCCTTGAACCAGTGATCAGCTCGTCGAAAGGCCTGTATCTAAACATAAGACAACACACACACAGAATAAACACATCCTTATATCAAACATCCATGCCTTGTATGGGATTCGAACCCATGATCCCGGGTTCCGAGCGAGCGAAGACAGTACATGCCTTAGACCGCCCAGCTACCGTGACCGGCTAGTATTAATAACTTATTTTACATGGTATGAAGAAAATATTGTAATCCAAGAGCAAAAAATAATGGCTGAATGAATGAATAAATAAATAAGAACGTTTAAAATCAATCCTTGTGCACGTTCTCGCTGTTTTGTTTTACGGTGCCCGAAATCAGGTTTTACAAAATATTGTCACTCTCCCAAGATGGATACTGGGAGAGTGGCTTTAAGTAGGCCACGACCACAAATACCTGTATGCTCAGCGCTCATTTTTACCTTACGATCTCATGCATCACTGTATAACTTCTGCGGCTGACTTAACTAAATTGAATTATCTGGGAACCAATCAGTTGGCCTAGTCTTCAAATATAGCTTATATTATGTCTGGTAGTACGTTTGTTACACTTTGTAACGTAAGTTGTTTGTCACTATTAATATAGTCCGAAGCAATTGCAGCATCCTACTTAAGGAGTCTGGAGAGGAGCTTAACATTTAAAACAAGTGGACAAATTCACAGAAACATTCGAAAAATATCGGTTAATCAAGTGCACGCTCATTTGATTCACCCAGTTTTTTTTTCAAGAACAGTCTAACCCGCTGTTATAATTTCCGTATTATCACGAATCATTTTAAATTCAATCTTCATTGCTTGGTAGTTGACAGAAAAGTGTGCTTGAAATAGCTACTTGCTGTCCTTTACTACAAAATCGAATTTAAACAACTTACAGCAGTGGCTAATAAATTCTGGTGATAAAAATTACGAAGTTCTTATTAATCTTTTCAAATAATTACCTGCAGGTTGTTTATAGCATTGTTGAGTAAATAGTAGATAAATATGATTAAATATGCCGGCGTTGTGTGGACAGTGACGCAACTGCTCTAACATTACTCATAAACAGTTCATTCTATCAATCGTTCGAGATCATTATACCTTTAAATTGAGACATATGAGTACAGAGTTTGAACCAGGTGAAGAAATTTTTTAATTTACTGAAACTTATTACTCTGAAATAATTTGAACAATAGACACACGGCATAATGTTTGAGATTAGACAGTATGACATGACACGCGAACATGGGTCCCTGGGGCAAGTCCTTCAGGAAGGAAGAGATTTTCAGCACCATTAATTCCATACGCCGGTACTTTCGAATGTATTAATCTCTGAAATATTTTCTCTAATTGATTGCTTCAGTAACTTTTCCTTCTTCAATTTCCATTGGGGAGGAAATAGAAATGGCAATTTCCAGATCTTTGAAGCAATAACAAAAGGAACTCCCTGGCTTTTTTATATCAGGAAGTTAACCCCATTTCTCTTTTATGCAGTTTCTAACCGGTCTTCTTTACGCCGATTTATTCGTTAGAAACTTCGAATTTAACTTCCAGGCACGTCATCTGTGTGCGGGGTGATAGGAGCAAGAAGGAGCCAATATGAATTTTATATAATGGGACGTCCATAAAATGAGTACCTTAATAAGAAGTGTCAGCGAAGTAGTTATGTCCTGCTGCACACATTAACTGCGAAATGAACTAATACAGTTTTACGTCATATGTTGTTCTAATTTAAAAAGACTGTCTACTTTAAAATTCCATTATCATCATATTCATTAATGCCGTAATACGTTGCAAATTTCATATATAAATTGTATGGTCGAGTAACCACGTTTGTGTTCCCGTCATAGGCCTTCTTCTGCAACCTCGTTTAAAAATAATTAAATGGAGTTACAACTTTTTACAGGGAGCCATATTTCTTGTTTCTAAGATTAATTGTAGTCCTATGTGGAATAGTACTACTACTATACATTGGGATGTGTAGTTGTTGATGTGATCGTAACAGTGTCCAGGAGATGGCGGTAGTGGACACGTACATACCAGCGCCATCATACGAACATTTGTTGAACTAATGGTGGTACGAGGATGTTTATCTGATTCTAGGAAGATCCAAATGGTGGAGCAAGTTCTCGGATGGATTCAAGCGCCATCATTTGGCCCGTCCTTGTATTACGTGGCAATGGCGAGGTGTATTCTGTGACGTCACCAGTAACAGCCGATAGGTGAGGGTTTTTTTTACCCAATGTTTGAATGTAGTAATACCAATTCATATCTCCGGAGATAGACTCCATCCTCCGGAAAATTGTTGTAAGTAAAAAAATATGATGGATAATGTTCAAAGGAGAAATAATTACATAAACCTTAAACTTCCCCTTCACTACTGCCTTGTAATATAGTCCTCTGATGCATTCAGGTCACATCATACACTGAAGCAAAGAGGGTTTGCATTTTTTTAATTTCTACTCAGTATGTCATTATGTTCATGAAATTTATGGGTGTTTCAGTCTTGGCCCAGACCTTCCCCAATACTGAATTCAACCCTGTGATAGCAAATATTTTAATCTAGTTCCAGATGTTTTAACCCACTCTCTAAGGAGAATAATTCCCAATGCTAGTTGCAGTTCTGAGAAGCCCATATTGCATGGACCACTGTTCATGTACCCTCCTGCAGATGACAACTACGGAGTGGACGCTTGTTCCATCCTGTGCTTGCAGTGTGTGCCACCAGTCGTGGTAATAGCCACCTGTTCTGCTACCTTGTACCACTGTGTGCTGCTGACAGGTGCTGAGGATGATGAAGACAACCATGATAAAAGGGTGAGTTAGCATGTCGCACAGTTTCAAGGGAAAAAGTGCTAACAGTATGTGAATGTATGAAAATATTACTCTTACTTAATTAAATCTTGGAAAATTTCTAAACATTCACACTTCTAATATTTAACTTTAATTCAGTAACATAAGAGGTCAAACAGTTCCATCCAGTGTGACTAGTAAAGATTTTTCTTATTTCAGTCCTTCCCTTACATGTTTTGGTCTTTACAGACCATCCTCAGAGGGACACCAATACAATCGAAAGCCACTATTACAAAATGTTTTTGAAGGTTAAAATATATACATGTAATGTTTATAAAATACAATGGATACAGAATTTAAAGTTTTTAACAACTACAGTGGCTGTCTTAATGTGTTAAAATATTTGCAATTAGTGTGTTAAGATTTTTGTTGGAAATTATAAAACAAGTTGGTTTCTGCCCTATTTATTATTTCTTCTCTTGTAGGAAGCCAAATGGCTGCTGCCTTGTAGTTCTTGAGAAGAGGATTCTTTAAAGTCATCCTGTATGTATTTGTGGCACGCTGTTGTATAACAACACAGCACACCACGAACCAACTTGGTTTATAATTTCCAACAAATATCTTAACACACTAATTGCAAATATTTGCAAATATATTAAGACAGCCGCTGTAGTTGTTAAAAACTTTAAATTCTGTGTCCATTGTATTTTATAAACATTAGATGTATATATTTTAACCTTCAAAAACATTTTGTAATAGTGGCTTTCGATTGTATTGGTGTCCCTCTGAGGATGGTCTGTAAAGACCGAAAAATGTAAGGGAAGAAGGATTAAAATAAGAAAAATCTTTATTAGTCACACTGGATGGAACTGTTTGACCTCATATGATATTGTTAGTGTGACGGACCAGAATGAAACAAATCAAATTTAATTCAGTAACATCATACTGATATTTTCTTGAAGCGAACCAATTATTTAAGTAAATTAGTTAACTTAATAAAACCATAACTGCTGATGGCAGTTATTTATGATTAATACACTTCGTTGAAACGTCTGAGGTTCATGCTGTACTGTTTGCACTTACAGGCAGCCATATTATAATCTTGTGCCTCATATGAAGTCTGAGGAGAGGGTTTCCCCACCACCACCATCCACCTCCAATTTAGTCCCATCACGTCTTCTCTCTTCTCTTGTTTTACTGATTGTGTTTTGTTTGACAGTCATCTTGGTCACAATATGGATCTACCTACAACCTTCATACACCTGATGTTGCACTGTATGTTTTTGAATCAGTTGAACTAGAACTGGGATTGGCGCTTGATGATGACGATGACACATATACATGTCCCATTTATCTGCATCATGACAGCGGGACAGTTTCACGGTATGCTGATTTTTGTAACATGAAACTTGACTGGAAAAGTAAAACTTTAATATATGGACAGGTCTTGATTTAAATGTAACTTATACAGGGAAGTTCTTACCTTTGTTGACTGGTTCACAGCACTGCACTTTACAGCAACCCGTGCACTGCTGGCTGCAAGGTGCATACAAATGTTCCGATGAATTAGTATGCCTGGTGGCCAATAACATTTGGAATGAAGGGGAGTTATTAATTTTGTGTACTGCTTGCATAAATTTCAAAGAATTATGTCAACGTTTGACAACCCCAGATTATACACTACCATACTCAGTCCTTGCATGAAAACAAGAAGAATACTGGAAATTTACCCTTTCGCTTTGTATAATTTTCTGATAATTTTCCTGAAAATAATGCAATTTTAAGGCAGAAATTTTAAGAAGTGCAAAAAAAAAAATTTTATAGCCCAGTGAATGAAGTTGAATGACACAGCAAAAGGATGAGATTACCTCTTAATATGCAGTAGAGTCAAACGTCACACTGTTTGCTGATATATGCTTGTTTAACTTCAGTTGAATAGTGCAGGAGTAGTGTTAAAAGACTAAATAACGACTGGTTATATTTATACTGCTTTAAGGAATTGGATATTCTTGTATGTTTTCAGGTATTTTTGTACCCATGATACTGGAGTCCATATGATGTCCCTCCCATTTATTGTGCATCTGGAGGAATTTTCCAGATCTCACGATGGTAAGTTATCACATGGAACCATATCATTTATGTTACATGAAATTTGTTTAACCTTTATTGTCTGTGCGTTGCACAGTTGTGCTAATGCATGCACCTATTCAGCAGACCCAGTGTAGCATTTACTTAAACCTGTCCAGCAGTACCATGGTGATGGGAGGTGCAAGTTCAGACAGTAAAGGTTACACTACAGATTATGAAATACTGAATATGGAAAAAAAAAGAGGAAGTAGCATAATTAAAGATCAGTTGTTGACATGTTCATATGTATTGATTAATTCATTATATTCCAAATTTGGTATCAAAGTTGTAACATATACACTTTGTGTTTATTAGGCACCTGGTTGAGGTGCCTCATCTGAGGGCTCCTATCTCAGCCAAGATTTTTAGTGAATTTCCTCAATCTATTCGGTTAAATGCCAGGCCGATAGCTTCATAGTCCGTAATTCCTCTGTCCCATCAGCTTTTCATTTCACCATACATAACCATCTCTTCCCATCTAGTCAGTCAGTGCCTACCTACCATTCAGTGCTACAGCCCTGAGTGAGCCATGGCCTCCTCTACAACCAGCCTCCACAACAAATGCGTTCTGGTGCACCGCGCCCTTCGTCTTCCTCTCCGCTGATTACTATTATATTATTATTATTACGAAGAGGAAGGGCACAGCGCAATCGTTACTGGCCCTATTGTTGGTTCCCACGCTCCCCTAGATGGAGATGGGGTATCCAAGCTAGGAGGAGGCTTAGATAAAAACAAATACAATTTTAATAAAAAATATATAACAATACACAAATAACAAACGACACATTTGACCAAGAAACTAATACAAGCTCATTTAGAACAAAACAATTTCCCGTCGGCACCACTTGTGTCGACACTAGACATATTAGGACGTTAAACACTCAAGCTATACAAACACAAGTCTAATTCTGAAGAATACCAAACCAAATCTAATAACGCGCGTCGCAAGCGTTCAAGCAACGGCTTGCGACCGCGGGCAGTCCTTACCGGCCAGCCAGATAGCACCAAAAGGGAATTTAGAACAGCCCCAGCCGAAACCAATATTTTCCACAACAAACCTGCTGGCTAGTAACCGACCTTCCAAGTCAACTTGGTCTACACGACTGCACTGTACAATTCTCCCCTTCACGAGAGGGTACATGGGACCACATGACTGACGTCAGGATACTGCATAGTGGGGATGGAATCCGTCAAGGGAAACATGATGACATCATACGTGAGCGAGCTAAACCTTAGAACGGCTCACTGGCATATGAATGGATCCGCTCATGATTACCGAGGCTGGCTGCTAGGTTTCTGAACAAAATATTTGTACATGATAAGGTTGTTAGCCTCATGCTCAACCTCCTACCTGGAGGACCAGGGTATCTCTCTTAGTCACGACTCTACCCTTTGACCTTTCTGGCATGGGTGACCCTGCTGGTGGTTAAACTACTGCTGGAATAGCTCTTCAGTTCACAGAGTCACGCAAGCCCCACCACCCTGATAAGGTGGAGACACCTTTGGGCGAAGTTAGTCGGTACACTGTCATTAAATAATTCATGAACTTAGTTACCAATATTACATGTCAAGAAGACTGAATACTTTCTAACCTAAACTAAATAATTAGAATCATATTATACTTAAGCATCCTGTTGCACTCTACACGATAAATGATACAAACNAATTAGAATCATATTATGAGTATTGTGATTCCCAGTCATCAAATGAATATATGGTGAGCACAAATGTCTTTTACATGTTTCTAAACATGTTAATTCAGTGTAAACCCATTTAAGGTTTGTTTTGGGGCAGTGGATTGAAACACTAAACAGTAAAATCTTAAATGGGTAGGGGTTTGGTGTTGTAATTTTACTCTGAGGTTATTGACTTGGGATCATTGAAATTGAATATTAAATGCTGGAGACCCTTAAACTGAGAAAGAGATTAAATGGACGTTCTGCTGTGTTTAATCAGCTACATACTGCAGGCGTGTATGTACGGAAATTTAGTGATCACACTAACTCCAAAGAATTTTTTGCTTCTGCGCACATTTTTAAAGGATATGTCTTACAGTATCACATTGTGCTATACAGTTGTTTCCATTCATTGGCAATGTTTGAAATTTGTTTTGACACATTGCAGTATTTACATACCTTGAACTCTATAAACCTGTTTAATGTTCACCCTTTAAGAACTAACCTCATTTTTCAGGATACAGCATGTAACAAGAAACCTGATGAATTAAAAATTTTTCGTAAGGTTGCATGGGTTGATGTTTTGGCCATGTAAAGAAAAACTGAACATGATGTTATTAGATATGTTTTGGTTAATGGTGCCCCCAATAACAAACAGTTATTATTTTTGAAGACTCAGGTGTGTTTCCAGATTCTCCACCTCTGGAGCTTCTGAACCAGTCAAGTTCAGCTGAGTACCTCATCTGCACCCGCACCTCATCCTCATCCCCACTCTCGCCAATTCTGGGGCTGGCCATCACTTCACCTCCTCCAGCACTCATCACTCTACTAACTTCAGGAGAGGTGGTGAGCCTAAACCTGATGTCTGTTCCACTTCTGCTACCCCCATCTACAACAGTACTGAACAATGGAAAAGAAGAGTTATATTCACCTCTCAAAGTGGTAAGTTTGGGGTAAAGTTCAGCAGTTGGAATAATGTTCATTTATTCTAGGACATGTTTCTCAACCTTTTCTATATGGCATGATAGTAATTGGTTTGTTATACTCATATCAGTGCCAAGTTAAGGACTAAGTTTTGAAGCACTGCTTACATTGAAGGTGAAAGAGTCCCTGTTTTATGTGGTTAACAACAAAATTTGTAATAGAAAAACAGTTTGTTTTATTGTATCAAACGTTAATAATAAATACAACATCTAGATGCTATCATCTGTAATAAGTGTTCCGAAGTTTAAATGATTCAAAAGTGAATCATAATTATAAAGAATGTTGGACTCAGTAAATCAACTGTAACTTAAACATTTAATTTTCTCTCCCCACTCTCAGTTCATATATATATGGGGGCTGGGGCACTATGCTACAAGCCGGAAGGTCGTGGGTTCAAGTCCAGATGAGGTCTTTGGATTTTTTCAATTGACCTAATCCTTCCGGCCGCACCATGGCCCTGGGGTCTACTCAGCCTCTAACAGAAATGAGTACCAGGAATTAATTAAATAATTTTCCTGGGGAGTAAAGCGAGGCCGGTGCGTAAGGCTGACAACCTTACCACCATCTTTGAGCTAATTGTCTAGATAATGTGGGACCCTCAACGTCTCACAACCCTATAGGCCTTCAGGAAAGCTTTACTTACTTTACTTTACTTATATGGGGGCTATTCAGGAAGTAACATCCATTTATTTCAGGCAACTAATGTAGGAGCGGGTGAAAGCTCTGACATGCGAGGTAGTGTCACATGACTCATTGCCTTATAAACAATTACATAACTGGTCACCTAGTGTTTGTTCTTGTCTCTACAGAATGAGTTAGTATGTGTCATGTGATTGATACTCCAACCAGCTGAAAAATTTACGCTATTATCCACTTTCTTCATGCTAAAAACATGAGTGCTACAGAAGTCCATCATGAATTATGTGCGGTTTATGGTCAGAATGTAATGAGTAAGGAGCTGTAAGACAATGGTATAGAATGTTCAAAGATGGGTGAACAGCAAAGTGGTCGGCCATGTGTAGTGAGTGATGATCTTGTTCATAGTGTTGACCAAAAAATTTGTGAAAGACAGCACTTCACAATTTCATGAATTTTGTGTTGATTTCCACCTAGCTGAAAAATAAAAAGAGCATCAGTGTCAGTAAGGGTGGAGTGGATATCAAAAGCTTGGAAAGAGTGCCAGTCAGTATTATTTCAGAATCGTTCTTAAGTGCTGTTTGTCTAACAAGGAAGACGGGATGCATCATTCATTCATTCATCAGTAATCTGTCAAGACGACAGGTCCACAGTCTCTTCCAAAACAGTTCCTCCACTTGATGCGATCTAGAGCTTTCTCCTTCAAATGAAAATATCCTCTTCTGTCTCCAAGGTTATCCAGCATCTTCTTATGCCTTCTTCCTCATCTTCTGGTCAGTTCTATCCACCCCTCTATCTTTCCTCCAATAACTTCTTTTAGAAGGCAGTTACTGCGTAAGATATGACCAATCCAATTGGCCTTCCATTTTCTTATTTCATGTAGGATATTCCTCTGCTCACTGACTCTAAATAACACTTCTTCATTTCTCACATAATCGGTCCAACTGATCTTCTCCATCCTTCTCCAACACCACATTTCGAAACTTTCCAGATGTTTCTGATCTACTGCCCTAAGTGTCCATGTTTCATCCCCATACAAAGCAATGCTCCAAATATAGCATTTCACTAGGGTCTTTCTCAAATTTAAGTCCAATTTGCTGGTAAAAAGATTCTTCTTCTTGCTAAATGCAGCTTTTGCCATGGCAATCCTGGATTTAATTTCACACGTACACCTTCCATCATGTGTTAACAAGCCACC